ACCTGTGATACTTTTTTTCAGGATTCTTTGATGAATAAAAAGTTCAAAAGAAGAGCATTTACTTAAAATAGAAATGTTTTCTAACAATATACACTACAGTTAAAAAAGTTTGGGGTCAGTAAATTTTTATTCTTTCTTTTTTTAAAAGAAATTAAAACTTTTATTCAGCAAGGATGTGTTAAACTGTTAAGAAGTGATAGCAAAGATTTATATTGTTAGAAAAGATTTATATTTTGAATAAATGCTGTTCTTTTTAACTTTTTATTCATCAAAGAATCCTGAAAAAAGTATCGCAGTTTCCAAAAAAATATTTGGCAGCACAACTGTTGCCAACATTGATAATTCCAATAATAAATCAGCATAATAGAATGATTTAAGGATCATGTGACACTTTATACTGGAGAAATGGCTGATGGAAATTCAGTTTGCATCACAGAAATAACTTATATTTGATATTAAAACAGAAACCATTATTTTATATTGTAATAACATTTTGCAAGATTTCTTTTTTATATATATATATATATTTTATTTTTTTTGTCTGAAGGAGAAGGTTTAGGTCAATAAGTCAAAAGCCAAGATCTCACTCTCTATAACCTAGAGAACTGCTATCAGCTGGACTTAGCCAATAAGCTGCCCAATAAAGCATCTCTATCATGACAGTCCTGTAAAACTTCTATCGCAGTATAATCCGCTGAAGGCTTTGTGTGCATAGGTGCTACATTTCCTTGCGGTAGTCTAAATTTCAAAAAGTGGATGGATTAAGAGAGAATGTTTTCCTTAGCTGACCTTAGTGAAATCTGGCAGAGAGCAGAAGATGACAACATGAAGATCCAATACACTGTGGTCAGATATTAAGAGCTAAATGAAATACTTCCTTGCTTCAGGCTCTTTGTCATTCCATGGCATCCGTCCATCCTTTTCCTGTTAACTGTTTTGTATCTGAATTTGATTAGAATGTTAAACTTCCTGGTGTTCTTCTTGAAATAAAACGCAAACATATGGTATCCACTGAAGCTTGGTCAAAACATCAACAGATCTTAATATTCCCATTACTACAAAATAAGTATAGAAACTGAGAACTTGAATTCCAGTGTCAAGCATTTATAGAACACTAACTGTCATGACTATTAGGTCTAGTCAACACCAACTCAGTATGTTTAATCTCATCAAGAGACCATCAACATCAGTTTTCTGTCTATAACTAAAGATCTCAATCCACACAGCCCAAAAACATAGATCTCTATTACACAATATTTCTCAGACCCATCCTATCCTCACTTCATAATATTCTGAATTATTTCTGGACATACTCAAGCTTGGAGCTGTAAAATAGTTAAATATTAGATCTAAACACTTTCTCTTGGGTATGTAACTGTATATTGGCTCATATATGTATTTTATATCATTTCTACATTATTCCGTATGCTCCTTCCACAGTTCTGGTACTTATAAAACCAGCTTACTGTGCCTGTTAATCCATTACACCACCATCAAAGCAAGCTCAAGTTTTAATGTAAAGTGATACACCTATTAATGAGCACAATTCCGATTCTAATTTGGATCTCTTTTGTTGCTATTTATCCCAAGCTGTTTTGTCGAGAGTGAAATTTTATGATTGATGAGCACTGGCAGGACCGGGGTGAAGCAGGGGTGCTGGGACGCTATCGGCGTCAGTGGCTGTCTCCTGCCAGTGTGGTGCTTGGCTCATCTTCCTGGCACGCTTTAAAACAGCCTGTAAACTCCCAAAGATGCACAGACTGGAGCCCAGATCAAGTGACGCTGTAAAGTAAATACTGCGAGTGCTTAAAGGGCCTCTGATGCGGTCATGAAGACTGCTGTTTATTGGCCTGAAGGATAAGGTCTGAACGTAGACTGAGTACACAGACTTTCTTTACCGTTCATGGTCTTTTCTATTTTGTCAGTAGCAGTGTTGGGCAATAACGCATTACTTAGTAACGCGTTACTGTAATTTAATTACTTTTTTAGTAACGGAGTAATTTAATATAATTAGAGTATAGTTACAAGCCGAGGTCTCTATACGTTACTGCCGCGTTACATTGCTGACAGAATGCAGTGATTTATAATCTAGAGATTGTAAAAAGGATGTAGCTCACGCACTGTCGAGTCAAGTGCCAGTGGATTAGAGACCTGCTCCCGCGAGACACGACGCAAGAGAGAGCGGCGCGGGACAAGATGGGCGAGTGCTGCGGGTGGGTAGACACTGTGTGTGGGATGCGGGAGAATAAAATGATTCACGGGATTCCCGCAAAATAGAAATATCTAAACATAAAATATCTAAAACAAATAAATTGTAATTCATCTATTGCACAGAAGCAACATGAACTAATATACAGGTGCATCTCAATAAATTAGAATGTCATGGAAAAGTTCATTTATTTCAGTAATTCAACTCAAATTGTGAAACTCGTGTATTAAATAAATTCATAACACGTGTTTGCAGCGTTGAGCAATGCAGTGCTGAAATTTGCGTACTCATGAATCCTCTCATTATAACACACGAATTCTAGACATTATGAAAGATTCATTATGCACATATTTATTGAGTTATAACAGAGATTCCTGAGATTGCGATGAACTGAGATGTCTTTTAGAGATTATAAATGCAGCAATCTTTGCTGGCATTCTGCCATCCCAAACCATGTACGCAGCAGCCGCTTGCTTTAGTTAAAAATAACAGTGTTCTGTGAATGTTGATGCTTTAATAACAAATATTTATCGGGAGCGTGTATGCTGGGATTTCATAAATTTCATGGAGAAAAAAGTAACGTAACTAGTAATGTAACTAATTACTAATTACTTTTGAAATAAAGTAATCAGAACAGTAACGTGATTACTCCTTTTAAAAGTAATCAGTAATCAGTAATTTGATTACATTTTCAGAGTAACTTGCCCAACACTGGCCAGTAGAGAAGAGATACAAAGCGAAGCAACAAATAACAAACAGCTCGGTGCAACGCCAATGAAAAAGAGTGCTTCACTTTTAAGTTGAAGACTAATTTAAAGACTAATTCAAGTTTTCAAAAAAACTCACCAATGCATAAGGAAAAATAAGGACCTGGTTTTAAGAGATTTAGTGTGAAAGATTATTTGCATCTGGTGTACAGATCCTAAACTCTGTAGCCAAAGCCAATTACACTTTCATTTCTATCAAAAAAGAAAAGAAAAAAGAAAGTAAGAAAAAACTTCAAATCTTTCACTTTATCTACATAAAATTCTCACCTTCATTTAAATTTTCCTCATAAGAGTACTAATAACACTTCCTTTAATCAAGGCGTGTGTTTGATTAAAAAAACTAAAAAGGCCCCACAAAATGAGACCCGCAAGCAGAGATGCTATGGCGCAGATAGCCTACAGCAAGGCTGTGGGCCCGTTACACCCTCCTATCCAGCAGCTGCTGAAGGTGCCCGCAAATAGAGAGCCGTGGTTAACCAGCTCCCTCACAGTGTCCGCCACGGTCTGTCACCATGGACACAGCCATCCTTCGTACAACATCAGTCAACCATCCTGCTAATAAAAAACAAACTTTATATGCCAATGGAAATTTCTTTGAGGTGCCTGACACGGACACCAAAAGCAGAGGGGGAAATTAATTAAAGTACCACTGTGACATGTAAGTGGTAAGATGAATAAAGAAGAACACTGGGGTGTGGTGTGTATAAGCTCGGTCTGAATGCTCTGATCTAATTGGGCAGGCTCCAGTGCAGTTCGGCGCATGTCGAGCCTTTGTGATTTGTTAAAGTAAATAAGCAGGAAAACAAGACTAATTTTTTATTCCGACAGTCAACGCCAGAATATTTGCTCGCGGTTAGTCAGTGTTCACCTGCTATTTGGAACAAGCTGTAAATGACCGGGTTCTCAACTTTTGTCTTGTTTCTTTGAAGGCAGATTTGCTCAAACCAAAGCCAACCAGACTCTCCGAGGTCTGAAATACGGTGCCAAGAAGTCCCATTTAAATCTCTTCATCTATACTTTGAAATGCATCATGCAGAGACAAACTTCACCACCTAAAAACAAGGCCGTTATCATCATCTCGGATGTGAAAGTGTGCAGGTTAGGCACAATTACTCAGGAAGAGCTTGTTATTGGGCACCAGTATTCTTTTGTCACACGTGAAAAGAAGAGGTTACAGGCGGCTCGAGTAATGGTGAGGGATTACAGGCCGTTTCATGTGGGCCGAGGGGGCTTGGCGAGTCTTGCAGCTGGGATCATACTAGTACAGCTTTGGGATTAGTCGAAAATGGAACCCAGATGAAAGCATGGACGCCTGTTCAATTGCAAAGACTCAGTGCGCAGAACATTTACCTCCAGATTCTCATTGAAGCTGATGGGAAGCGATTGCTAACATCACAGAGACTGGGCTAAAATAAGAGCTGCATTCTAAGTGGCAGCGGCTTCCTGCAGATTTGAACTGTTGGGAACAGGCACCGGTCACGTTGCTTCAGTTTGTCCTTCAAACAGATGAACAGTGCCTGCCTTCTTTCCGATGCCAGAGAGAAATAGGATGAGAAATGTATACATCACTAGAATACACAAGGCACATACACATTTACAAATCACACACCTGAAGTAGTAGCTAATTTTCAGCTCTATTAACCTTTCAAGTTATTTCAGCATTTAAAAATCTGACCAGGCATCCCAAAAACGAGTGATGTTAAGAATTCTTCACAGATGATAAATGTATGATGGAACATAAAGCATTCGTTTGGTAAGCAGAGGATGAATGTGAATTCCCTCAGAAGTCAAGCACAAAAAGCTGCCTGTCCTGACGACGTCTCCTAAGGCAGAGACAGAGAAATGTGCTTTCAATTATGTCCCGGTGGAAGCAGGGAAGCAGAACAAGAAATGCACTCGATTTATGTACTGCTCCGATTCTGCTCAGCGTGTTCTTACTGAACATTCAGAAAGTATTTAATATTTCCCGTAATGTTAGCAGTCAAACAGAGACAGGACTATTAGCCTCTTGGGGGTCTGGATCCCTCCATTTGATCTGAATGGTAGCGTGATGCTGAGAACTGGAGAAGAACAACAACAATGAACAAAACCCCTAATGAACTCCATGCTCCTGCAATTTCTGGTCTAAGCTTTGACTGTGTACAAAATCAGAGAGATGAGGTGAAGGAAAAACAAAGTTGGATTAGTTAGTTTTCGGCACACTGCAATGTACGAGCTGGGATCTGTGCTCAAAACAGGCCTGACTGACAGACGGACAGACGAGTGTCCTTCATGTGATGCTGGAGTATTCTGAAGCTCATACCAATGTGCAATGTTGTCTTTACAAAGCAGTCTGCTGCCACTGCTGAGTGAAACAATGTGAAATAACATGGAACTGAAAAGTACAAGCTCACTCTCTCAATTTAAATTGTCCATACACTGTATTCCAAAAAAGTCACCAAAGAAAGTTGAAAAATCATCATCAGACATGGTAGTAATTATCATAGAGTGCTAAAAATAAATAATCACTGTGAATTTGTTGCATTCAACATTCAATCTGAGAAAATTTAGATTATAATTACAGCCATAAATAACATGTGGGCAGTTTGAAGAAACTACATTTAAACTGTGAAATGCATTGTGTGAGTGTATATTTAAAAAAGGACCAAAAAAGTTACTTACAACTACAGAAGGATTGTTCCACTCTTCGTAGGTACGAGCTGCATAGGGGTAGATGCGATCGTTAATGATCTGGAGAGTTGTCATGCCAATAGCCTTCATGGAGCTGAAGTAGGCTTCCCAGAACCAGCGGGCCTAGGGAACAATAAATGGCATGACTTTCAAATATTTGTGAAAAAAGCAGCAAAGCACAGACTGATGTGCAGCCATTAATCCAGAAATGTATAAGCACACAAAAAGCATGTGAAAAATACAAACCAAAGGCATAAGATAAGGCCTCTCACATCCCTAAACTCCCACCATCCTGCTCGTGCCTTTATGACCCCGACACACTTTCAAAGGCAAAACAGCCCATTAAAGACTGGTGACATGACTACAGGGACCATTCCAGACGGTTATGAGCCCTTTAGACTATCAGTCTTTTAACTTTTACACTCAAGTGGCACTGAGACTGCAGCTAAAGTTTAAGGGCAGAGGTCAGGTCATTCTACTGCTGCAATGTAACCACACTTTTGCCATGTTGCTTGAATGCTGTTATAATGCTGATTAATTAAGGGGAAAAAACATAGTACCATTGTACAAATTTCAGAACTACCATTCAAAAAGTTTGGGGTCAGTACAATTTTTATTGTTTTTTACAATTTAATAAGAAAAATACTTTATATTTATTTAAGCTTGGATTAATTAAATTGATCAAACGTAAAGAACAGTAAGACAGTAAAAAATTCTACATTGACAAAAAAAATTCTGTTCTTTTGAACTTTCTATTCAAAGAATCCTGTTTTCAACATTGATAATAATATGAAATGTTTCTTGAGCACCAAATCAGCATATTAGATTGATTTCTGAAGAATCATGTGACACTGAAGAATGGAGTAGCGGCTGCTGAAAAATCAGCTTTGCCATTACAAGAACAAACTAAGCTTAAAAATATATTATCATTAATTAATTTCTATGAATTATTTTATATTTATATGAAGTTATTTTCAATTGTAATAATATGAACAATATTCATGTTTTTACTGTATTTTTAATCATATAAATGCAGCCTTGGTGAGCATAAGAGACTTCTTTCAAAAAGTAAAAAAAAAAAAATCTTACTGACCTCAAACTTTTGAAGTGGACTGCATATATTAACTACAATGAGAAATAATTTTTATAAAACCATTAGAGAGAAAAAAGCCAATACCTTTAATAGTTACTACCAAATTTTGGTATCTGACCTATATTCAACTTGACTTTAAGCTTTAACAATTAATCCATGAGGGTTTAAAAAAAAAAAGGGAGAAAAAAAATATACCCCCAACCACCAATACTGTAAAAACTACAAAAAAAAAAAAAACAGCCTTTCATTATTTACCATATAAGAAGGAAAAACAATCTATACATAATCTGTCAATACAAGAACACACACTCTTTTCCCTCCACTGCAGATCTAGTAACAAACCCAAAGCTCCAACAGTGAGGGGCGAGGAGCACATTAGAGTTAATTACCCATAAAACAGTGCTATCTTCTGCTAGGAGGCGCCATGCCGCAGTGACCCAGCTCCACCCTTCCTGGTCCTGTTTGACCCTGATCTCTTTAACAGGGTTGACCAAGTGCATGCTAGAGGCAGCCTCATTACCTGGCCTGACCGCAAACAGTGTAAGATTAGGTCTAACTACAAAGAGTCAAATGAGACCAGGGTGAATATAAAAAACAAGAATAATGGTGTTTCAACATTTTCCTGGGCCAATTATTGAACAACATCACAGAGTGCTAATGGCCTTTCTTTTAAAAACAACAATTACAAATAATTTATTGTGTCATTTGGTGAAATAGAGGTTTGTGCAACACATTAAAAAAAGAGAATCCTCTGACCATTTCAGTTACTCTCAGTTTTTTGCTTGTGAGTCTTTTGCAGCACATCTTTTCATTGGCTGCTTTGTTTGTTGCCATATACCCAACCCAGAACTCAGTTCAGCACATTAGAAGAGCGCAGTCGCCCCCCTTCCACCGGCCCCCAAGGGCCTGGCCCTTAAACCTTAAAGAAATACAACTACACAAAAACAGCTTTTCTTTTTATGGAGAGGGGAAGAGGATTCAAAAAGACTTTCTGATCCCAAGGGGAGCGCAGCCGCCCATAAATCAGCTCATGATGAAAGTTTCCTTTCCTACCAGGAGAAGGCAGAGAGAAAACCGCACCCACCAAGAGCTGAACCCGCCCCGTTTGAACGCTTGCAAGAATTTTTATGAGGAGGGAAGAGACGGAGTCTCGTAAGAGGACGTTGGCTGCTCTTCTGACACATTTAAGGTTGTTCATGTGTTAAACTCTTGAACATACAATAATCATCCCTTTATCTTATAGGACACGGTTGCTATAATAACTGCGGATGGGAATCATAAAGAATTAAATGGTTCCAAATCATCTTAATGATTCTGGTTCCATAAATGGTTCCTTTAGTACTTTTGAGGAAGAAATATTCAGAAAAAAGCAAGGCAAGTCATTGCAAAATGATGACATAACTTCAATAATAAATACTATAAAAATAAAACCAAATGAAAGAGTCAATCATTTAGGAATAGGTTGGACTTGGCACAGATTGCACTGTATGGTTGAGATTCACCAAAAAGGAAGAGCTCACAAAATTGATTAGTTCTGGAAAATGTTGGATAACACAGCTTGTGCATCATTGTTTTGACTCACTAAAAAGAACAGATTCATAAGAGTTATTTGTTATGAAGAATCGGTTGGGCTACACTGGTTGACGTGCATGGTTTTGATTCACTAAAAAGAACCAGCTCCTAAGAGTCATTTGATGTGGGAATCTGACTATACTTGTCCCGCTGTAAATTTTTTCAGTATATTTGTCCTAAATAACTGCTAATATAACAAATAACATCAATCTATGTGCTGACAATACTAAATGACCACTAGGCAAAAGTACTGAGCACTGTCATGAGTAAATCATGCAAGCCAACTCATCAGCAACATCCATGCGGTTGATCCATGCATTGCTAGCACTCTTCGATCCGTAGAAAGGGCACAACCAATTCAATTCAGTAACAGGACATGAGACGATTTGATGAAATGTCAGAAACAGCTACTTCCTAAGGCTGAAAGACTTGGCAATCACACCATGAAGTTTCAGTAGTTGGCTGCTCCCTCTATTGGTCAAAATGCAGAGAAAATCCACTTCACCTATTCCTCACAACTGTCTGTAATACTTCTGCCTCCTATTATTTGCAGCATCTGCATTTTATGCAGTCCTACACTGAAAGTTCAAGAGGGTTGTCTTCTGGCAAGACCAAGAACAAAGTAGTAGGATTTTTTGTAAAATCCAAGTAAGGTATATATATCTAGAAGCAGTTCTTTTGTACAATAGCAACCATACAATCGCTCTGCTGTCTGGAGGTGGTATAGGCTAGTAAGAAAGGAGTGGATCAAGATGTGTTCAAGTGTGGGCTGATATCTCACTGGCTTCATGCCATGTCATAATTCCAGCTCAAGATGTGTTTTTGCACACTACGTCCTAACACCACCCAGAAACCTGTGGAACTAAACTACAACATTCTCCTCACACAAAATATTCAACATCGAGCTGAAGAACTTGAGACTGTTCAAGAAGCCAATGCCAATGGAAGCAGAATGCAATTATTATTAATTATGGCTATCGTATAGTATTCTACATGGCAATATACTGACCATAATTATTACAGAGTGAAATCAAAAGATCTCTTTACATGCATTCCATGTGGTTTAGCTGCTTTAACATAAGTGTACAGCTGAAAAAGCTGAAGGGGAAAAAATTTAAGCGAAAGTGTGCGGTTAACAATTTGTTTGGATAAAGATACATCACTAATACTTAAAATTATCTTTCATCATGATTTACTATGGCGGGAGAAATTTCATATTTAGAGAATCAAAAGTACACACTTGCAGGGATATTGTTTTTGGCATTATCTCACCTGTCTAATGGTTATTTTCATAGCGGAGCTAGTACTCCATTGAAAGGAAGAAAGAATGTTAGTGGAGAAGAATAGAGGTTGTGACTTCTTTAACCTTGCCTTCACCCTGTATTAAACCTAAAAAGACTGCACATTTTTAGTCTGAATTTGACTCTTTTGAACTCAGTTTCCATCAGTTTCGACAGCATTTGGTACTGTTTACTAACTGTCACAAAGGGCTCAGGGTTGTTGGACTGCTTTTCCACAAATAGCTCCAAGTGTATTTGTAATTCTGTTCAAACTTTCACAGAAAAGGATAGAGTGAACTGTACAAAATAAATTGTCTTCACATTAATTTTTAGTCCTTGGGATGACCCAAGAAGTGAAAATGACCTATCAACCACCATGATGGACAGATGCTGCTAATTTTTTACTGTCACTGCAAAAGTGCAAACACATTCTTACCTGTCTCTGCATCTCCTCCACCTGTCTGTGAGGGATGCTCTTCAAAATAGTGTACATCTCTGGCAGCTTCTCTTCTGGAATGACAACAGACGCCCTGCAAGTACACGCACACAAATGACTATTCAATGCACTTGATTTTCAAATGACCTAGTTAATCCAGCAACATTGATAATTGTGACAAAATCAGCATATTAAAATGATTTATGAAGGATCATGTGCCACTGAAGACTGGATTAATGGCTGCTGAAAATTCAGCTTTGCCATCACAGAAAGAAATTACATTTAAAACAAAATATTTCATTTCATAAATGAAAAACAGTTGATAAATTGTAATATTTCACAATATTACTGTTTTTACTATATTTTTTACTGCATTTATACTGTCTTTACTGTAGATTTTAAATAAACTGGCAGCCTTGATGAGCATATGAAACTTTTAAATATATAAAAAAATTGACCACAAACTTTTGACCCCAAATTATGATATTGAATGCTAAAACTTCAAATACATTTAAAAAGATATTTATATGATCATTTTGATTAATGAGGTCATTTTTATTTCTAAATCCTCATGAACTACTGATTTTCTTATTATTCAGATTTAGCTCATGACTTTCTGAAGTAATAATAAAGTGTTCAATATGATTTTTCTTTATTAGATATTCATAAGGTGATCAGTAGGTCAGGTACCATATTAACTTTATTCATGAACACTGGAGACTGACACAACAACAGATTTTTGACCTTTACCTTTTCCAGTCCAGCACTTCAGAGAAAGGCAGAATGTAAGAATCAGCCATGATGACAGGGACACATCCAGCCTGCAGCACGTCACTAAGCGTGGCTTGGCCGAGCCGGGCCCCTCGCAGAACAACACAGAATGATGACTCCTACAGAACACACAGGGGACACATTTGTCATCTGTAATAATGATACACTCTCAGACCTCTTGTAACAAACAGCAGTGCGATCTAGGTGTGTGGTGTGAATGAAGGGGTTGCAATGAAAGGTGCTAGGATCAGAGTCTAGAGTGGCTTTGTGTTGAAAAGGGGGTGATGGCTCTCACAGGGATTTGGCCTCTGCTCCTCCTCACTGTGGAACGTCTCCCAGATGTGCTGCAGCACCCAACCCAGATGATAAGCATACTTCCTGTCTAGACAGGCCTGGACGGGAGATGAGCATGGTGGACAGGAACAGCATTTGTTTCTTTTGCTTACACCAATGGAGGAATGTGTTGTGGTGGTAAAGAATGCTTCTGGATGGGTAGAACATGTAAAGTCTCTAGGAACATTTGGGCCAAGCTCTCAAAGGCAAGATGGGCTTAATTTACACAAAGATGTAATGTATTTTCTATAGTAAAAATTTAAATCCAAATAGTCCAATATTGATAATGTAAGC